CTGCTTTGCGAGCTATCACTATTTCATATATTTTCATATCTTGAAAATGTTCTGGTTAAATATTTAATAACCAGTGGTAGATTTTTTTGGAATTTTTATATTGTATATGTGGCAAACAGTAAAGGGGGAAAATGTGTTTTTTGTTTTTGTTTTTTTTGCCGTTATTTTTCGACAATGACATTTTCATCCTTTGTTCTTTTCAAGAAAAATTTATTATTGGAAAAAGACTGTATTTGCAATTAAATACAAAAGTTTGTAAATACCTTATATTTTGCATATTGTATCGTGTGTTTATTTAATTCTGGTGTCTGAAAGACCTGAGATTGTCGCTTTAGTTAAGTATCCCTAATTGTTTCATGAGTTGGGAATGGCGCCCTCAAGTGTCAGAATCAACAACTTTCTCAATATGCTCGTGAAGGTTTTATGAATGCTCGGGAATGTTGAAGTTAGAAGTGTCGAAAAGTTTTGAAAAATGGTAAAGGTGAGAAAGATACACTCAATTTGCAAAATAAATTCTCAAATATTGGTATATAATTTGCAAGGGTAACTTAATAATAAACCATTCCTGTACATGTAAAATTCCATTTACACAAACTTAGCAGGGAAACGATAAGTTCTATTTTACGTTTCATTTGGATTTAATTTAGTGGATTTTACGTATCAACGAAAAAGACGAAATTAAGAACCAATGAATAATTAATGAATTTACAGTACATCATCAACGCAACACACCACTAGAGGGCGCTATTAATACAAAAGGCATACTTGTATACAATAAACTAAATCAAAGCCCTATTTGGTTTAGAGATGCTGAATTGTTGGAGATACAGACATGGTTTTATGAAAACATTGCGCTACAAAAATGATCTCACACCAATATTTCAGAAACCATGCCCAAATTGTAACTTTATGTTCATACCAGTACTTTAAGTTACGGGCAATATACTTTTTTGTTTTTGTTGAACATCCATATTTAGTAACTCAATCTTTAAACTGTTGACTGAACTTGCAGGTAAGTAAGTTACCTGAGTTACAGGTAACATGTATTTTCATTAATGTTAAAATTTTGTACCTGGAATTTGAGTTACGGGAAACTGTAAACAAAACAAAACATCTTTGTTGCCCGTAACTCAAATTTTGGTCAGTTATTTAAACATTATAATGTGGGCATGGTTTTTTAAACTACGTGCATGGTAATTTTTGTAACTCAATGCTTTTGTTATTAATCAATTCAGCTTCTTTTAGCTTGAAAGTTCGAGCATAGTCTCTGTTACCATGTATTGTAAATAGACCTCTGTATGTAGGATGTTGCACAGATGAGGAAAAGAACCAAGGGTAGCATATTTAATGCACATGTTAATGACCCAGGATTTAATATAGTCTTTGTTTATGCAGTTGTGCATAGACTTCTTATAGAGAAAATACAGTATTACTGTAGAAAGAATTGGAATATGTCTGATGTAAATGAGTTTAATTTGGTTTACATGTCAAAATTATCAGTTTCCTTGATTTGAAACAATTCACTTATTTCATGCAAGTCCAGTTTTGGAATATGTGCTAATGTTTATTTTAGAAGCCTCCTGATTGGCTGACTAGTCTCATATTGCACCACTTTTGGTCACATGTATTATTCTGGCCATTGGTTTATTTTTGTAAATTCACACATCTCTTTATGCTAAAACCAGTCACATTTGTTTTCATATGCTACTGGTAATCGTGGCATATTATTGTAAACCACTATTGTAATTTAGACCTAAAGCTGCTCAGTCCTAACCAAGGGGAAACATTTAAAGTGGACAAGAAAAGACTTCTTAGTCAATTATTGAAAAAGTTGGAAGCTGTTCTAACTCACTGCAGAGCCTTAAATGACTGAGCTATTGGATTGGACGACTCTGGGAAAGAAAGGTCATGTCAAGTTACGCATTGAATTATTCATGAGCTAATGACAAAGCATGGTACAAGACTAAAACACTCACTCGAAGGTGTAGGTTTACAAACCCACATTTCTTTTGGTCTGTAAACACACACC